GCTTCCCCGCCGCGTCCGCCAGGCCGCTGTCAGCGCGCCTCCTCGCAGCGAAAAGAATCATCCTGACAGCTGACACTTACAGGCGCTGCTCCGTGTCACACGTGTTAGCTCATTTAGTCTTCTCTGCCGCCCTAAGGAGCAAGCACCGTATGACCCCTATGTACCTACCTGAAGAGGAACCCGAGGGACGGAGAGGCTGAGCCCCTTGCCTGAAGTCACACAGCACCAGCCTGGTATTTGGAATGACAGCCTGTCTTTTAACTTAAAACATCTGCTGACTTGACTGTGTGCAGACTGGCGCCTCCCCAGACCTCTTTAACCTCCCAGACCAGTAATAATACAGCATGTGCCGAGCCACGGGTTATTCTAGTCACTTGATGCCTTTCAGCTTATTCAGTCGTCCTGGACCCTTGAGTAAGGTTCTCTTGCCCCGTTTGACAGGTGAGGAAACTGAGGCACAGAGAGGCGCCGAAATGCCAGGGAGAGAGTGCATCGCGCTGGGCGCGGCTTGTGTGAGAGCTCCCAGGAGTGAAGCCCTCCCGGAGACTGCTGGGAGACAAATGGGAAACTCGTCCCACGTGGGACTTGGGAGGCGTCGCAGATGTCAGCACAGCTGGGTAGGAGTGAGTGACAGCACACACAGAAGGCGAAAGGAGGTGCCACCGGAGGCTAGGGACTCAGACCTCCCTGGAGACGGGCCAGTTAGTCAGGAGCCATTTGCTGAGCACCTGCTGGTTTCCCAGCACCTCGGAGGCTGGGAATAGACAGGTGAGCAAAACCCTTGCCCTCGGGAAGCTTCCGTTCCAGTGGGGGACAGACACCGACAAACTAGTCGGTGAAAGAGCATTTTACAGTGAAAAGGGACTCAGAAAGACTGACTCAGGCTACAGCTGTGGGTGAACCTCTAAAACATGTTCAGGGAAAGAAGCCAAGTGCAAAACACCACGTAACGGATGACTCCGTTTACAGCTGACCCTCGAACAACATGGGCTTGAATGTGCGGGGCCACTTACACAGGATTTTTTTTCACTAAATATGAACGGCAGCCCTACTGGATCTGCCAGTGGTTGAGTCCAGCGCTGCGTAACTGCGGATACGGAGAGCCAACCGTAAGTTACATCCAGATTTTCAACTGTGTTGCAGGGTCTGTGCCCCTAACTGCATGTTTACGAGTTGATCATATGTGCAATGTCCAGAACAAGCAGAGCCATGAGACAGGAAGTGGGCCAGTGCTTGTGACAAGGACTCTCTCCTGGACCAAACTCTACTCAGCCTCTCTGAGCTCAGAAGTCAGGCCTAGATGGGAAAGCACTCAGGCAGGTAGGAGGGGGCAGCTCACCTGTGCTGAACACCCCCCAGGACAGGCCGCCCTCTGCAGAAGGGAAGGAGGAGCCACCCCAGGGTTCCAAGTGTCAGGAAGGTCAAGGTCACGTGTGATGTGGGGAACTCAGGAGGCTGAGTGGCCTGAGGAAGCACTTGGGCACCTTCACACAGCACCCCACCTCCACACAGAGCCCACCACCCCTTACCACAGAGACTCCTATTCCAGGGCACACTCCTTACCTGCCACTGGCCTCGGAGGGAGATCTTGCATCTCTGATTTATAGAGGGTAAACTGAGGCCTGTGGGATTAGGACTGCCCCAGAGGGGCATAGTTTGAAGCGGTGCAGACACCCAAGCTGAGCCTCCTGGCTGGGGGGTCCCTTTGAAGCATGCAGGGGACTATCAAGTCCTCAGAAAGAAAGGTGGGAGCCAGTGGTTGCTGTACCCCCAGGCCCTGCCAGCCCTCCTGGGCCTGCCTTACTGTCATGCTTCTGCACAGGGATGTTTACAGCAGCTTTATCCATAAATACCCAAACTTGGAAGCAAGACAACATCCTTCAGTAGGTGAACGGAGAATAAATTATGGTCCATCCAGACAGAGGAGTGTCATTTTTTTCTTGGAGTAAAGATAGATATATTTAGAGAGATACATACTCCATAGACGGGGTGCAGGCTGTTTCAGAAGGCAAAAGAAAGGCCACAAGGTATGGAGGTTAGGTGCTCGGCAGATACACACTTGAGAATGTGGTCCGTCTCACTCAGAAGGGAGAGAGGCTGGGAGTGTCATTTAGTGTTGAAAAGACGTGAACCACCAAGCCGTGAAGACACGGAAAAAGGCAATCTGATAAGGCTACCCTCTGTAGGATTCCAACTCTGCGACATTCTGGAAGAGGCAAAATTGTGGGGACAGCACAGGGCTCAGGGGTTGAAGTTGAAATGAACACAGGGCACCGAGGGTTGTCAGGACACGGTACATGGCATTACACACGTGTCCAAACCCATCGCAGGTACAGCACCGAGTGAACCGCGCTCACCGTGGGCTCGGGGGGGTTGGTGCATCCCTGTTCGTGTAGGTCCCTCATTTGTAGCAAATGAATCCCACCAAGGTGAGGGGTTAACAGAGGAAGGGAGGGGTGGCTGGGGGAGAGGACGCCTTTGGGAAATCTGTACTTCCTGCACGATTTTTCTGGAAACCTAAAACTGCTCTAAGAAATGAGGTCTATTTAATTTAAATAGACGAACAAAATGCCACGATTGCCTTAATCCTCTTTTGGCGTTTCTTCCTGCACCCGACATCCCGGGAACCCCACAGAGCGGAAGGGGCTGCAGTCCGCCAGGCCCGGCCCTTCCTGTCTGCAGACCGGGGGCAGGCGCTCCAGGAAGCCAGACTGGGGCAGCCTGCTGGGACCCAGCCTTCCGAGGCCCCACCTTCCACTTCCTCTCACACTGCCTCTCCACGAACTTTCGATTCACATTGTGGTTAGCCTTTTTGGTAACTTATCAAGTTATTTTTAACTTATTAAAACAATACATCGTTTAAAAAATGCAAACCATACCACTCAACAACAAAAAAGAGAAAAAAGCAGGCAAACGCCTGGAAGAGAGGTTTCTCCAAAAAAGAGCTAGAGAAGTGCCATCAAAACACAGGACAAGACACTCAAAGTCACTAACCATCAGGGACATGCAAATGAAAGCCACAGCGGCGATCGCCTCCCACTGACCCGGATGTGGAGAACGGTTGGGGGTGGAAATGGTGCGGCCGCTGTCCAAGTCCAGCCTGGTGCGTCATCGGGAAACGCGGAGTCCCCACCCCACCCACATCCCCCTCCTCCATGTAGCCGCAGGGGACTGAGAGGCAGGCATCCCGAGGGCCTGGGTGAGCCAACTCGGCAGGGACACGGGTGGGGGACAGGCACAAGCTGGACCCCACATCTCTGAGCGCCCAGCCTGGCCCTGAGCCTGACCTCCAAAATTCTGCTGCTGCAGAACAGAGGCGACAGGAGAACCAGAGACAGTGACAAACCAACCACCAGTCACACCAGCTTAACATCTCCAAAGGTTTATTTCCTTAAATTGATATTACACAACTTAACGCAAAGAGGGCCACACGAAACTTCTTTTAAAGTAGACCAAGAGTCGACAGCCGTGTCATGGAGAACAGGGTCGGCGGGCAGGGGGACGGGAAGCTGCAAGGCCCCTCCTGGGGCGCCAGCCTCCCGGGGCCCCGGATTCCAGCCGACCATAAAGCAATAAATACAAACACGTTCTGCGCGGGAGGAGAAACTCAAGTCAACGGTGATGAGACAGAAACGAGTCCCAGGGCTGCTGTTCTTCCAGGTCCAAGCAGAGCGGCAAGACTTCAAGTATTGCAGAGAGAAACACGGAGGGTCTTCGTTCACCGCGTCTGTGGTGAGGCCTCAAAGCCCCTGCCCCGGGTGCCTGGACGGGCACAGGCTCCCTCTGCGCTCTTGGGGACATGCTCGAGGGGAGCTAGGCAGAGCCAGGCCGACCGGGGAAGGCTGCTTCCCCACTGACCCCGCCCTGGCGGCCAGGACCTGGCTGGGGGCCAGGGGGACTTGACATCAAAACCCACTGTGAAAGCTGGCACACAAAAAGGGTCCAGCTCACCTGCCCACCATGTGCGGGCAGGGAACATGGGCAGGGGCTGGGCAGACCACATGTCCCCTAGGTCTCCGCATCCCCGATGACGCCGAGGCTGCCCCCATCCTGCCCTCACCCTTTCAAAACAAAACATCCTCAATTCGTACAAGTCTTCTTAAAAAAAGAGCTGCAGAAAATAAGACACATTTTAGCAGTAAAGTGTGAAAGACCGCAACGTCTCTGCTGGGTTCAGGAAGCTTGGTGCTTCATACTGTCCGTCCCTAAAAGAACATTACTTAAGACGGCTGTGTGTCCCCGAGAGGCCCCGGGCGGCAGGCACAGCGCACGTGCTCGTGGGGCTATTTACACACGTGCACGTGGGTACAGATGTGTACACGCGCCTTGTAGTGCAACCGATGGGACCGAGGGCGTCCCGGTTCCAGTCCGCCTGAATAAAGTGCTGGGTGACTCACAAAGCTGAGGGGTGGTCTCAGGGAAGGACAGAGGAAGGAGCCAGGAGGACACACCTTTTCCTGGGTGGGTCCGCTGGGCAGGCCTGGCGGCTTTGGCTTGAGTGGGCATCACGGTCTCAGGGCCTCTGCCTGTCCTGGGCGGGACGGCCCTGGGGTCATGGCAGGCTCAGGAGATGCCCACGCATCCCCACCTGTCATCGAGGCAGCCGGGAAAGAAGTTCTGATTGCCGGCTGGGAGTTCTGCCCATCCGTCAGCGAGGCCAGAGGACTGGCCTGAGTTGAGGTTCTGGGTGAGGCCTTCCAGTGCCCTGAAGTTCATGGCCACAGAGCCCGGGAGATGCAGCTGGAGACCCAGCTCCGGACACTGGGTGGGGCGTGGGGCAGTCCTTGCCCAGGCACCAGCGAGCAGTGCCAAGGCCGCCGGCTTGCCCGGCCAGCACGATGCTCCCCACCCCGCAGGATCGGCAGAGAAGGTCCAGACCCTCGGGCACCACGAGCCGGGCCTCGGGGAGTAGGGGGTCAGGCACAGATGCCGGTCAGCAGGGCCGAGAGTCTCCGCTCGATGCACAGCTTGCCTGCAGGGAGGGAGGGAAGGAGGGAGGGCACCGCAGTGAGCGGGGCACCCGCGGCCCCGGCCCCTCCCCTGGCGGCCCGCGGGCACTGACACTTGGCGATGTTCTCCACATCCGCCTGGTCCGTGAGGATCTGCTGCAGCCCCTCCATGAGCAGCAGGGCCTTGTGGTAGCGCTGCACGCAGTCCTCCCGGCGGTGGAACATCTCGTCCAGGGCAGCCGACTGCACCTGCCGGGCGACGGTGGAGGCTGGGCCCGGCTGCCCGGGCGGCCCCCACCAAGGGACAGGGGACCAGGGCTGACTACCCTGAACCACCATGTGCAGCCCTCGTGCTGGAGAGCACGAGTGACAGTGCAGGGTGGTGTGCAGGCCACATGGGGGTCTGATCAGATATGCGCGTGCCTCGGGCAGCTGGAGGTTACAGATCAGATGCCTGGCCAGCTCCACCCCCAGGTCTGAGTCACTACTAGCAATGGTGTAACTTTCCAGGGGTCACCCCTGGGGGAGTGGGAACTCGGGGATGAAGAGACAGACTTTTCTCGAACATTTGTTCAGACAGCGTGTTTTCACTACACAAGTGAATTTTCTCAAAGAACAAGCACTTCCTTACATAGCTCCTTTGGGGCACAAGGACCCCAAACAACGGATACAGGGAACCAAGCAGGGTCCCTCCAGGTCCCCTGCTGCCTTCACACTGTGCTCCGAGCTGGGCTGCCTGCGCTGGTTTCTCCTGGAGGCCACCTTGCCCGCTAAGAGGCTTGCACACCAGGCCTCCTGTTTCCCAGGTCGGAAAACTGCGGCCAGCGATGCCGCCTGGGCCGTGCGGGAGCCTGGAGGGGCCCGTGTGCCGTTAGCTGGCTGCGGGGACAGCGTGGTGCCCCTCCCCACCCGGGAGCAATGCCCCTAGAGCCCAGGGGAGCTGTGGCCATCAGCCGCCCCCAGCCCCTCCCCACCCCGTCCTACTGTCTGCACCGCATGGCTGAAGATGAGCTTCTCGGCGGTGACGCTCTGGACGCGGTCCAGGAGCCGCTGCTTGTCCAGGAAGAAGCGCTGCAGCCGGAGGCTCAGGCCTTGGCAGGACACCACGCTCGCCTTGTACAGCTCGTTCAGCTTTCGCACCACTGTGGGGGGCAGGGGGCCCTCAGCTCCAGCCGGCCCCAAGGGGGGCCCCAGCCCCGCTGCAGGCAAAGGCCGCTGCCCGGCTCCTCTCCTCTGTGCGCTGCTCCAGCCACGCACGCTGCGACCTCGCGTCCCCCAGCACACGGGCCCTGCCTCGGGGCCGTTGCCCTGCCCTTCCCGGTCTCCCCTGGCTGCTCCCCTACCCGGGCCGGGCCCACAGCGGGTCACCTCCTCAGAAAGGTCCCTCACCACCTCTTCCTCACTGTCTTTCCCCCAGTGGTTACCTACTCCTCCCTGACAACCCAGTGCCGGCCCTGCATACCCTGGGGGCGAGAGCTCAGTTCACACTCACCCTGCTTCACGGTGGATGACAGGCACAGCTTGCCGGCCCGGATCTGCTCGATGGCGGTCTGCAGGCCGGAGGAGAGGAGCTCGGCCACCTTCAGGTAGAGCACCAGCTGCTCCGCGAAGCTGGAGGGCAGCGAGGGCATGTCAGACAGCTGGGGGGGTCCCCCACCCCCCCGCTCCCCCCCCAAG